AAAGTTGCTGTAGTTAGTGACAAGTTAAAATATAGGTGTGTGACGTTAGCTATAGGTTTGTCATTAGGACAGAGAAGCTCTTACAAAGTTAAATCATACTGTGTAAGTATATTGTAGCCACTTGGCTAGAGTTATATAGGCAACTTGGTAAGCAGTAATACACCAGGCAGGTGTTAAGGCTAAATCAAGAGGCATCAGGCAGATAGATGTTGACTTATATAGTCAGTTATACGAGTATAGTGAGGCAATTATCAGATGGCACCAGGCAGGTGCCGGTATTAACTGAAGATATATAAATAATTATACAAGGCACTTAGGTCATTTGATTTAAAGACACCAGGCAGGTGTCATATTATTATCTGTATATATTGCATTCAATCATATCCCCAGTAAAACTCGGTAATCCGAGCACGGACCTACTGACCGCTCAGATCCGACACGTTACAGTAGTACGTTGCAATTGAGTTAATCTTAAAACTTAATTTCCGTTTCATTGCTTTAGTGTAACTGGGCTAGATACGATATGTATTGTGTATAATGTGTTACATATACTTTCTTCACGTCGAAATAAAATAAAGGCGTTAAGAATGTTTTATTTTTAAAATTTAATTGATGCTATCTTACCTATCTAATAGATCAGTCCAGAGAAAAGGCGCGAATATTTACTCGTGGCGTTTGGCGCGAAATTATGAATGCTTTTTATAATTCTTAGACAGACTGTTGCAAAAGTACCGTGGTATACACAAGTATATTTAGAGCAGTACTCTCAATAGCTTAATGGTAAGCGTGTTGGGGATATAAAAGTAAAAAAGAAAAAGCGCATTCACGTTGGCGACATGGTTTCAATCCTCCTTGTGACCAAAATTTTGAATCTCTTTTCAGCTCGATTTTACGTGGGTTTCTTTTCCTAAAACGGACGGAAGACCTCTCGTTGCTCGCAACGAGATCGTATCTAGTTATTATTATTATTTTTCTTCTTCCTGGGAAAATTTTGTCCACGAATGATCTAGTAAACTACACATCCGACTTAGGTAAAATGTTTTTAGGGTCAGTAGACATGTTGTGTAGATTTGCCGAATGAAGGTCATTTTGCGCGCACGTGCTTGCAAGAGCGTGCACGTGCAACACGAGAAATGACCAATATAATGTGTATTGCCGTAACTTTTTCAATTTTTAATGAAATGCGTTGAAACTCATAATATTAGTATATATTAGTAGCTTAGACAAGATGACATGGTCAGAATAGCAAGATCTCACGCGCATGCACGTGCGCTTCGCTCTGATTGGCTGAAACTAAAGTCTCAATATCTTTCTTGTTTTTTGTCATAATCCTTTGAAATTTTCAACATAGTCATATATAAGGGAGATCTACAGCATGATATATAAGAATTATCATGAAAGCACTTACATGCACGTGTGCTAGCAAGAGCGCGCACGTGCAACATGTGAAATTACCAATATGATGGATTAAGCCTTCACTTTTCTATTTCTTGATGGAATTTTTTGAAACTCACACTGCATGGATATATTAGTAGTATCAACAAGATGACATGGTCAAAATAGCAAAATCTGACGCGCATGCACGTGCGCTTCGCTCTGATTGGCTGAAACTAAAGTCTCAATATCTTTCTTGTTTTTTGTCATAATCCTTTGAAATTTTGAACATAGTCATGCATTATGAAGATCTACAGCATGATATATAAGAATTGTCATGAAAGCATGCGCATGCACGTGTGCTGCAATCTGATTGGCTGAAAATTTAAATGCCTATATCTCCTTTGTTTTTCGACGAAATGCTTTGAAATTTAAAATATAGTCATGCATTAGGATATCCTTCAATACGATAAAGATAAAAATTTATGAAATCACGCGCATGCATGTGTGCTGCAATCTGATTGGCTGAAACTTCAAATGGCTATAACTCCCTTGTTTTTCAACCAAACAGGATGGGATTTAGAGCATAGATAAATATAAGGGACTCCTACAATAAGGTGTAGTCATTATTCATGTGCGTGCACGTGAAATGAGTAAAATTAAAAATACACTCGAATGAGTATATTTTAAAATATTTTTGGATTAAATGCTTTGATATTAAGGATATCAAAATTTTAGATAGTGTAGACAAGATAATATGGTCGTTACACACATGAACACGCGTGCAATGCCTATTTTTAAATATATTTTGTATTTTTTCTGGGAAGACCTTCATTAAGTCTAAATTCCATAAAGTATTTCTTATTTAATAGAGATTACAGGGAATATGGCACCAAAAGGGAGTTGGGGAGCGTTTGGGGAACATCTGTAACGGTCCCCGTTACAATTAGCACTAGTTATTGTATAATTCCTCTGCTATCAGCTGACTACTAATTATTGTATAATTCCTCTGCTATCAGCCCCTAATTATTGTATTATTTGTCTGATATCAGCCCCTAATTATTTTAATTCCTCTACTAACAGCTGACCCTTCAGTGGGTAGTGAACCCTGTGGACAAGATGAAGTTTGACCAGATGTTTAAGGCGGCTGATGCAGACATGGATGGTTTTGTATCAGGGGAGGAAATCCGCAGTATATTTCTACAGAGTGGTCTCCCCAACACAACACTGGCACACATCTGGTGAGTGAGAGATGCTATTTGTCTGGGCTGGGTATCATTTGGGAATTGCAATATACTGCGATATTTTAAAATGTATTGTGATATGTAATGCATTTTTGAAATAACAGTTAAAATGCGCGTATCTTACTTTATAAACATCCATTCACAAGCAGAGTGTAACTCTAGATGATTCAAACTTTGATCTCTGGAAGTTCTTGATCGCTAAAAGTGAGTCTCTGGTTCCAAATTTTTTTCCTATATAACTTAGCAAATTTACTCTTGATCTCTGGAAAATCTTGATCCTTCAAAGTCAGAATGCAGTCCCGCTATGCATATTCTATTGGAAATTAGCCTAATAGTTAATGCTATGGATGACTTCGTTTATATTTTTATATTGTTTTCATTTGACGTATTTGTAGTACAATGTCCGTATTACAAAGAATAAATACTTGTAAATAAACATGAAATGACGATGTAGATTTTTTTACTTTACTCAGTTTAATATTCATCTAAAATGGAAAACATACCGTTGTTTTATAAAAACCACATGTAAAAGGTTAGTACTGCATGAAAATATTTCATCCAGTAAGACAAATTGTAAAATCAGTCAACAAATCTGGAAAATTCCAGACAAATGAAAACTCGAACTCTTGATCTCTCAGTTTTTTTTCCGTCCTTTGGACTTTGAGGCATTTATACTTCACATATGTATTGATTGTGACATAAATCTTTCAACTGATATAAATATTTCAGACCTTTTGACCTTGACCTTAGTGTTTTACCCACTTTTTGAAAAAGTTAACCTTGGTTATAACTTTTGAACAGGTAGCATTAGAGCTTTCATATACCGTACAACGGGTATTTTTTGTAGTTGGAAATTTTTGCGATTTAACCCCTAAAAGGTAGCAAATTAATCGTAGCGTTTTCAATTTCTGTGGTCACACTATATACCGCAAAAAATTGTTTATGGGTACAGTGTATAAGAACACTGCCATGCTTACGTTTTGTAAATTCATTCAGGCATATGAATGAAAGATGCATGAGAACAGGTATTAATTTATTAAACTTTATTAAACTACTAGCTTTCAATTAATCTTTTTAAAATTATGCCTAGTCCCACTTGAGAATAATTATTATTCAGATAACTCTCGAAACCTCGAAGTCCGCGGGACCGAGGAAAAACTTCGAGAGATCAAGAGTTCGAGTTTTCAAGATTCTGGATTTTTCCGGGTTTGTTGACAGGTTTAAAAATTAGTCATACCGGATGTAATGATTTTCATGCAGTTCTTACCTTTTACAAGTGGTTTTTACAAAACAACTATATGTTTTCAAATTTTAAGTGAATATTTATCAAATTGAGTAAAGTAAAAAATGTACTTCGTCAGTTCGTGTTTTTCATTTTTTTTATCATACAGATATCATTCTATACTCATTCGTAATATGAAAACGGCATAGACCATGTAGACCAGCGTTGCGTGGTACATGGCATTGTGACTTTTCCAAACATGTACATTGAATGAAATTCTGTATGTATTTGTACAAAAAAGTCGTCATATTGATAACGATGCTGTTTCTGAATTTTCATATTTCGTTAAACTTTTAAACTGATTCGAAATAAAATTTAATTAATTGTTTCGTCTCGTAATCTGCAATTACAATTACACTACGTTTCTGAATTATCGTTATGCAGACAATGATAATTATTTTGATAGCATATAGGCGCTATAAGATTAATTATAAATCAATTATCACCTTGAAGAATAAGTGTCACCTGTATAAACATCCCGTTTCACGAGACCTGCGTCTTCTGCCTGGGGTCATGAAATGTCCAGGTAAAGTTGCTTATTATGTAACTTTGTATACACAAGGCCACTTCGAGGTATTAGTCCACTCAAACAACAAATAAAATCTGTATTCTAATCAGACATTTATTTTATATGATCTACTAAAATAATTTTAATAAATAAATATATAGATAATGATAATTAATGCCCCCAAGCCATAATCTAAAAGACACCTAAATAACTGCAATCAAAACCAAATCGGAATTTTCATTTCAAGCTAAACAAACAGTTGCATAATCAACCACCCCAGATTCATACGTGTCATGTGCATTGCGGTGTTACTAATACTGTCAGTTGTCTGATTTGGAAAAAATTCATGAGACAATCAATCCATATGGTATACACAAGCAGTTATTTTAATTACGTTCTGAAGACAAAACACAAGATTGAAAAGTGGAAAGAAAGAAAAACTGCCACATTTTGTTTGCAACTATCGGAGTTTCAATGTCACCCAAATTTTCTCACTAACGAAGACACGTCCACACATGAGTCTGCAGACGCACCACTTATTAAACATGCATGCATAAAATACCTGAATAAATATGCATAAAATATAACATAAATGAGTAAATCCTTTGAGGCGTCCAAACAATTGCGCCAATCAAGAAACATATGACAAGTTAGTTAGAAAAATACAAATCTGGACTAAAATGCAAGATAATATAAAACCAAAAACCCCAAAAAGGAAAAAGGGTGGGTGGTGGGTTTTTTTCTTCAATGCACTGCCAGGCTAACAAAAATTGCGCAACAAAATCAAGGATTTTGATTGGATAACTCTGTCAAGCAAAATAAGGTGCTATTTCGCAATGAAAGGTTCTATGATAATTGCACTGCGATAAGGGCCCATATCCTGCAGACTGCGCAGGGATATGCAGAATTATCCTTAGGTGTAAAATAATTTAAAAAAAAAAAAGGAAAATTCTAAGGGGGATAGGGAATGACTCAGATTTTTTTCTCTGAATTGCTGAATTCTGACAGGTAACAATCTTGATTTATTATTATTGATTTCTGTTCATGAGTGCCATGATTTCTTGTATTCTCATCAATGTAGCAGTTTGGATGTTGTGGTATGGTATTTGTCTGAGAGATTGTTGATAGGAGTACAGAGCAGCTTGATGGTTCCCTGTCACCTGTTGACAGATCCCCAGAATCTGCCAGGAGATGTCTCTGAAACGTATATCTATATACTCCCCCTGATCATGTTGGACCAGGTCCTGTAGGTCATTAAGAGCTGATTGTGTTCTCACTGGGTCTACATGTCTGTAACACAAGACCTCTAACATGTGTATGAAAACATAGGATGGGATAATTAATCCAGGGGATCCACACTGTAATCCAGACTGTTGTTCTGGCACTAATTCATTGATGTAACAGACATGATTATCAAGTTCATTATCACATGTCACATCATGTCTCATATTTGTAGACCAGGACTGTCCCCCCAAGGACTGATGAAACATGTACCATACTGCATTGTAAGATGAATGGTGGATATACATTACGTATGGCTGTGCTAACTTCACCTTTGTCATTTCTAGAACTGATATAGCTTCTTTGTATCTAAGTGTATTGTAGTAAAACATTGCAATAAACAACATATCAGAAATACACCCAAACTTGGCTGCCAATTTCAGCATATAACTGGGTGTTTTATTAGCTATATACACCTGCTTGTTTACAACTGAGCTAGTACTTACCTCAAATGGTGCAAAAACGATTGGAGGCTTGTATAATATAAAAGCAGTGTTCGGGAGTACAATGGCTGTAACCCTCTTTAATAGGAGAACCTGGCACTGAGTCAGGGGTAAAACTATCACCTTATCTACAGCATTGAGGAACCTCATACAGGTGTGTAGGTCTGGTGTTGGTATTCTATATGAATACAATTCATTAAGTAGCTCTTTTTCAAACAAAACCTTGGAGATCAACCTGTGTTTATCTGTATCAATAGATTGTCTGGGATTTTGAAGGACAGTGATTACACAATTAGACCTGATAGATGGACAATGAAGCAGTGATGCTATACCCTTCTCATACAATTTATGAAGTCTAATGAATAATTTGTTTTGTGCTTCACCATGAGTATTACTCAGAAACATGTTGTTTTCTGGAATAAAGAAGTTTGGACATACCCCCTCATACACCCATTTAAGGATAAGTTTAAAACAGACCCAGAAACACTGAAGAAGATTTTGTGGATGCCATCGAGGTATTGTGTTTTGTTGAATCACCCAGAAAACTGCTGTCTTCATGTGATATGAACACAGTAATTTATCTCCTTCACTTAATTCTTCATTGATAGACTCTTTTAAAAACAGTTTTAGCAGGCCGTAGGTTAAGAATTGGCAGTGGTTCAATGAGTAGGCAAGTTTTTGTTCTGCTAAAGAGAAGGAAATTCTCCATTCTTTGTCTGCGTGTTTTCCGAGTTTGTGTCCTATTGCTACAAAGTGGCATCCACTTCCGACTATGTCATTAAGAATAAAAGACGGAGGCCATGAGTGACATCTGTCTATCCATTTGGAGGCAGGAGGAGGCCAAATATCACTGACAAAACATAGGGCAGCGTCAAACTCTACTAACCGCGTAAACACCACTACCACACGGACCATGTTCCTTTAAATTAGGCAAAACTGTTGAACATGTTATTTGTCTGTATATGGAACTGGATATATAGAATCTGTCATTTATTCTCACACATGCATTCTGTACACTTTGAATGTGCGTTGGTGTCAGTAATTCAAGTAAAACAAATCCTGGTGGGCTTTCAGAACAATCACAGAGAATCAGTGTTTTTCTACTTAAGTCATAATTCCGAACCTGGTCCCAGACTACATAGTGGTCATGTGGCCAAAACATTGCGTCCATATCTGACTTCTCTAGTCTGAATCCTTCTCTGCAACTGCCACTAGTCATCATCCTGTATTCTTTTCTTTTATTAATTACTAGATTCATCATAATTTCCGTGAACTCCCCCATCTGTCTCCTCATGATCACCGTCTCTGAGGACCCCAGTTTGTGATTCAGTTTCATAAACACAGACTCTGATAAATGCTGTATACCCATGTCCCTGCACAAAACATTCAAAATGAATATATAAATATGGTTAAAAAATAGTTTGTTATAAGAAAATTGTTTCTTTCACTATTAATCCAAAGTATTTTGATTTTAATTAAAGTCTTACAGGTCATTGTTTTTATTGTACAACACCTCAATAAATAGTAATCATATTAATAATGAAGAAATACATGCTTGTCTGTATTGATTAATATAAAGGTACATGTATGTAGAAGATGTATTTTTATACTTACAGCCATTTGTAGGACGACATTTTAACATTATAGTTCCTGTTGCTTTAATGACTATAATTAGAAGGGGAAAATTCCAAATGTTTACTTCCAGTTTCACAGAATATAATTAGAAGTGGAAAATCCCTTATGTTATTATCAATAAACCATAAACTGAAAACAGACTTACGTCAAAATTTCAAATTGACATAACTTTGGAAATAATTTCGATAATAAAATGAAATTTTCAACAAATGTTTGACTTGAAGTATTTTAAATAGTTGCATACTTATAAGCTAATACATCGAAAACAACTGAAGATATTAAAAATTAAAATTTTGACTTAAGTGTATTCTCAAAATATGGTTTTGGGGCCTGAACTCTCAAATGAAACTTTTTTATTGGAAATAAAAGCACTTAATTAGTCCTTTCTTTATACTGATGTTTAAAATGGAACATTGTCACTTCGTCAGTAAATAGGTATAGGGACAGGGCCATTTTGTGGAGTTAATGAACCTAGACCTTTCTGTTAAAGAAAAGCCTCCTTGATTTATAACGTAAATTTGTCCTTTAGGACTTTGTGTGAAACCAACAGTGTGGGGAAGATAAACATGGAACAGTTTGCCCTGGCCATGTACCTCGTACAACAGAAACTAAAGGGGGTGGATCCTCCAGCCACCCTCACCCCAGAGATGATGCCCCCCTCCATGCGATCCAAGGGTAGTGCTGACACCACACAGTTTGGGGTTACGGTGAGTATTGGTTTTGTTTAATATTTACATTTGAATTTTAAATGTTTTTTAAGTAAATCATCATAGGTTTAAAAATTGTAATATTTTTGCATTTTAAATGAAATGTCTTGCATTATTAACTCCTCACAAATCTGATTTTCATTATAAGGTGATAAAAATTTGCTGTTAATCTACAAGAAGTAATAATTTGGTGGTTGATTTTTACAGGATGGAGTCAATGCCGGACCCTATGGACATGTGGCTGATTCTTCAGCCATAAAAGAACTAGACATCATCTCCAAGGAAATTGAGGACATGAAAAGGTAGTTTTAATTTAGAACATTGCCAGAGAGCTACACTGATCCATAATTGTGAAAACTTTCAATTAATGGCAAAGCTATTTTGCTGGCTTTGGTTATGATTATTTCTTATATTATATGTTTTCCCCTGTTCAAAGTAAGGTATTTGTTAATTAACTTTACATTTTACTACTATTTCCGATGCTGGAAGAATTCTATCGGAGAGTGTTTCTATTATCAGAGAGAAGTTACAGTTGGAGAGAGACAATGTCCAGACAGAAGCAGACATTAAGATTTGTAATGGTGAGGTGGCCATGTTACAGAAAGAACTGGACGCCATTACAGCTACACTACAACAGCTAGAGAACCAGAAAGAACAGGCTCAGAAATGTCTGGACGAACTCGATGAAAAGGTAAAGCATTAAATAGAAGTAGGCTCAAAATGTCTGAATGAACTCATCAAAAAACGACCTAGTAGTATTTACTTTAAAATATTTTTTTTTCAGAAATCTGACCTTGAAAGTAATGTTCGTGATTTGAAGGACAAATGTGACACAGAACTAAAAAGTATTGAGGAGTTAAGGTCACAGATCAACAACAGGGAGCAGTCAGTGCAGGTAGAGTGTCAGATGAATATTCATCAGATTGATAGGGAGTAGTCATTGCAGTTATAATGTTTAGTGGTCACCAGGCTGAAACAAATCGGGGTAATTAATATTGATAACTGTAGATTGCTCATTTTACACGAGTATTAAATACTGTGAAAATGAGACCAAAAAGTCAAACCAGGGGCAATTGAATAAGTGATATGACATTTTTTACATTACTGGTACATTTTGAATTTCATTGATTCAAGTTGTTTTGTCATGTTCTTTTGTAATTTATAAAATTTCTTTTCTATTTAAATTTCTAGAACCAAGAGAAAGAGCTGGAGAAATTAAGATTGGACTAAATTCACTGAGGGAGGAAGAATCAAAGATGGAACAGCAAGTGGAGGGTGGAAAACAACAACTGGAGTTGCTGGTCAAATCACAAAATGATTTACAGCTTCAAATATCACAGGTTAGAGTCCAAGTGTCACAATTAGAATATTTATGATCTGCAATTGGATGTACACAAATTTTGCGACAGTTTTGAGAAATCGGTACATGAATGGGTGAAGAAATGAACCTTGATTGATTTCAGTAATGTTTATAACAATACAAAATTATTAACCACCCCCCCCCCCCCCACCACCAAAAAAAAAAA